AGGGTGCATCACGTGGAGGTAAGTCTATCGCACACCCCGTGGTATAGAAGGTAGAAAGGAAGGTAATTGGTGAGGGGGGGGGGAGTTTAGACATTTTACTGTCGAGTTTTTGCTCCTCTAATCAGGGCTTCTGCTTCGAAAATTCCCTACAACCTTTTCCTTACACTGCGACTCCAATATTTCCCCCTAAAGAGTTACCGAATGGTGATTAAATTTAGCCAGGCGCAATAAATTTTTTTCACGAGAACTCACTAAATACGGTCCATTAAAATTAGTCATGAGAAAAATTGCGCATGCAGAACTGGTTGACTGATTGTTATTTTTGGAGCATATTGTAGTCAAGGTCAAGCGCATTCCACCTACAATAATGAAATTCAATCATTCTGACTTAAATCAGCGGACTCTTATCAATGCTAATCGCAGGAACCATAACACACTGGCAGAAGCTATATGTTTTACCTTTCCTCGCCATTTTCAATAAGTTGCAGACAACGAATCAATATAATAAGATCATAATAAATGTGGATTGAGGCTTATTCGTGTTAAGTAAATGGTAAATCAGCTCTTAATGTTTGATGGCAGCGCACAAATGTCGTTCGACTGTAGCTTTGTGTACGTTTTGATTTTGCTTTACAGTCAATGGATATTTTATTTACAAAATATTGAAGAAAGCCATAGGTTAAAACAAACGCCAGTATCTCCATAAAATGTAGAAATATATGATGTCATTAAAATTTAATGTTGAAAATTGTACTCTTAATGCCTGTCTGTTTGGTGCTATTGTCAATACTAATGAATTGGAATTTGCTCTTTAAAAAGGCGAACTCGTAACAACATTGTAAATAAGTTCAGACAACTGTGAACGAGAATTTGGTCAAAATAATTTTTCAATCATGAAATTCGAATTTTGAGAAGAAGAAATCAATCAAGTTGATGAATACGAAATTCATCCTTATTGTGGCTGTTCTGATTTTCAAAGTATTTCCAAATCTCGAATCGGTCACCACACACCCTTTTCACCTGGTAATAATAGTACTTAAGTAAGATATAAAACATATTTTCACTAAACCATCAATTGATCAATGCATATGCCCTCAAATTGCTTCTTTTGCATCACCTTTATTCCGGCTATTTTATTATTGGGCTGGCAACTAAGTCATTGCCGTTTTTTATTGACAGATTCACTCTATACTTTCTTTTGTTTTGTTAACGTGGCCAGAGCATCTAACTTATATTTTTTTCTTACTGTATGGGCTTCTAGGTTAATTAGTAAAAAATTTTTTTGTTTAGTTCTTTAGCTTTGTTTTTATCCCAATTTAAAAATGAAAGAACAGGACGTGCACTTCCGACACATTTTATTGTATTACTTCCGAAAAGGCAAGAACGCATCGCAAGCACAAAAGAAGTTATGTGCCGTATATGGAGATGAAGCCTTAAAAGAAAGGCAGTGTCGAAATTGGTTTGAAAGATTTCGTTGCGGTGATTTTTCACTGAAAAATTCACAACGATCTGGCCGCCCAGTCGAAGTGGATGAAACCCATATCATGGGCATTATCGATTCAAATCGTCACAGCACAACACGAGATATTGCAGAGAAGCTCAATGTGTCGCATACATGCATTTAAAAAAATTAAAAACCCTTGGTTATGTCAAGAAACTTGATTGATGGATCCCTCACCAGTTAAAGGAAATTCATTTGACGTAACGGATTAGCATCTGTGATTCGCCGCTACTGAAACGCAATGAGAATGAGAATGATCCATTTCCGAGGAAGAACCTAGTTACTGGCGACGAAAAGTGGATAGTTTATAACAATGTTACTCGCAAGAGATCATGGGTGAAGCAAGATGAACCAGCCCAAACAGTATCAAAAGCAGAGATTCACCAAAAAAGATTATACTGTCAGTCTGGTGGGGGGATCACAAAGGAATTTTGTATTTTGAACTCATGCCGCAGAACCAAACGATAAATTCAAATGTGTATGTTGAAGAACTCGAAAAACTGAAAGAAGGATGCAATTGAAGATAAGCGGCCGGCATTATCAAATCGGCGGAAGGGTGTTGTTTTCCATTATGATAACGCAAGGCCCCCCCCCTCCCTCACATCTTTGGTTACTCGGCAAAAATTATTGGAACTGGGTTGGGATGTTTTGTCACACCCACCATATAGCCCTGACCTTGCGCCTTCGGATTACCATTTGTTTCGTTCCATGCAAAGCTCTTTAAATGGTAAAATTTTTAACAACGCGGATGATGTCGGATCACACCTAACTCAGTTTTTTAATAGCAATGACCAGACATTTTACGAACGGGGAATTTTTACTCTGCCAGAACGATGGCAAAGGTCATCGACAAGAACGGCCCATATCTAATTGAATAAAGTAATATTTTTAAACAAAAATTCCGAATTTGCCTTCTTATTTGAAATCGGCAATGACTTAGTTGCCAACCTAATAGATTGTGCGGATTTTCGTTCTACAATGTGTGCACTCTGCTGTTCTATTCACAGAACATATGATATATGTTGGGTATTACCGGTTCATACGTTCGCATAGTCTGCACAAGTTCATTCTATTACATGAAAATAAATCGATTTACAGCATAATCACATTAACCTTGTAGTAGTTATGTGTAGAAAGCTTAGACATTCTGCTAATTGGGGGGGGGGATAATTTCCGAGAGTTGTTGATCCCCCATAGTTATTAGCCTTATGAGCTGCGGTAAAACAGAGGGTTTGCAGTTTTAGAAGGATAAGAACGCAACGAAATCAATTCTAATGAATTGGGGTGTCATTGTTTAAGTATTCCTTTTATTCACTTCTAGGTATTCAAAGCCGGAAGTTGGTTGTTTTTGGAAATTTTTCTTCTCGGCGCCGTGCTCCTTTATTCTACCGTAAGTCCACATTGGCTCTATTAATCAGAAGTTTGTTGTTTGAAAATTGCCACGTTTTTTACTGTATAAACCTGAGAAATATCCTTCTTAAAATATAAGGCAAACGATTGACTCTAATCATACCAAAATTGATTTAAATTCTTATTTGTTTCCTATTTAATCGAGTGTTTATTGTAAAAAGTAATTGATTGAGGATGTAAGATCGGAGAAAGTGGGAGTTGTAGATTTCCCTCTCTAAACCAGAAATCTCCGTAGGACTCCAGCTGTTTCGACGCAGCATTCAAGTAGATGGAAGGCAATAAGCATTAATTTCAGTTTTTTCCAGAGTGAAGGTGATGCGAAATTTGTCAATGTTATCCTCAGCGCTGCTATTAAGCCCAAAGCAAGCTTCCTCATAGTACTATAGAAGAACTGATCTATTTGTAAAGGTATTTGTTATTTGCCACTATCAATTCTTCAGGATATACCTACTGTCTCCTAACAATCTTCACCACAGCAACAGTTCCATTACAATTAACAGAGTTTATTTATAACAATCGATTTATTGGAAAAGTGTACTATATGTAATTGAACGGTAGGGGTAATGGATTTTTTATTCACCGAGGGAATTTAAACAGGCATGAGATTGGGAACAAAAATGTCGAGTCAAACTACTACAAACGTCCGATTATTCCGAATGCATCGACTCAGTGAGGGAAAGTGCAGTCTCTTCCCATACTTAGGTGTATATCAAGCCATTTGTGATCGAAGGCCAAGTAAGATGCCGAGGCAATGCTAACTCACAGAATGATATGGTTCAGGTTGTCTTGTGGTTTGACAAATTTAGAAATTTTCACAAGGAAACCAAAAATATTAATATTCATCCTTCTTTTGAAAAAAAGAATAAAATAAGTGTGAAGAAAATTGGGGTAAAAAGGCAAATTTCAAAAAAAATTAATAAATTCATTTCTTACAAGACCAGTTGGAAAGTCAACACAAAGTAACAACGCGCTTTTTTTACATTATAACAACTAGTAATAATGATATCCGCCTCCCTCCCCCCCCCCACCCCCCAACTTTACTGTTTAAATTCAATTACTATTGTAATAAATGCTATTAGTAGATGAGAGGTGGGGAGGAGGGGGTGGTTTATGACCCGACTGCCCAAACTCATCGCTCACGCGAGCCCAAAACAGATGTTCAATAAACAAAGTTTAATTTTATCTTTGGAGTCTGAAACAATAGCGAGCTTGTATTCGTCGAACATCTTTCGCAGTAATTATTATTATTTCAAATATATTTCATATTATTTTTTATGAAATAATTCCTTTTTACCTGTAGTAAGATATTATTAATTTTAAATAATCAGCAAGTAAACTGAATACATTATATTTTTTCCTGCAACTACATATATGAAAGCAGCATCGACCATTATGACCCCTTCTAAACTTAGTCCACGAAATTAGTACCCATGTCATTAGGTCTTGGAGGTAAAATGAAGGTGGCAAGTTTGATTATATGCGCATATCAGTCTTCTAGGAATGAAATTGAATTCTCATTTTTTTCTCCTTAGAACATTGTAATGTACTTTCGAGCTAGTAGTGCCATTTGCATTCTAATGCCCTGGTTTCGTGAAGTTGGCTTCTCCTTGATGTATGGTGTACTCATTGTCAAGTTATATCGGTGAGTTTCTACTCGTCGCATAGAATCTACTGAAATAATTTCAGTAACTCGATTCAACTTCGCTGTTTACTTTCAGAGTGCTCATCTGCTTTCAATCCCGAAAAGCACATCGGGTGCACGTGCGCGATAAGGACCTCTTCAAATACCTCGGATGCTTTGTGGCCATAGTGATTGGCTACATGCTGGCGTGGACCGCAGTCACTTTAGACTTCACACGCTTCAAAAATATTGCTGGGGTTCCCTCCACACTTACCCCAACTGTTTCCGCTACCATTCCATCTTTTCCTATCGCACAACCCCAGCAAACTGATATCATAGTAAAGGGTCGGGTTTCAGTTAACGATGCTCGTTCCACAACGTCTCCTCTTGATCCTTCTTTATTGCCTATCAATGTCAGCTCTGAGACCGGGTGTCGAAGCTGCTCGGCAAACTCCAGTTTACCTGTTGTCAACTTTACTTCAATTAGACGTGATAACAAAACCGAGTCTAGAGTTGATAAAAAATTGATAAATCAGGGGGGCCCAATCAATTATCAGTATTTCAGAGTTTGCAGGGCCTTATTCTGGGATATTGTGATTGAACTCGGTAGGAAGATGAAGCTGTTTTAGTTTATACCAATCTGAATTCACTATTATTACAGGCCTTCCATATTTTACTTCGACGTAGGTGAGATGACTGTTCTCTTAATCGGTGTGCACTATTGCCGGCTCATTTGGTCAGCGCCCTCGGATTTCAATGAAAATCGGTGTATCACCGTTGCACTTCTGACCGAGTTAATTGGTTCTGGGACCCTTTACCTTGCTCGGTGAGTAAAAGCCGTCTTTAACACACCCACAACGTATGAGGAAGAATTCACTTAACATATTGCCTCTTCCTTTAGGCATTTTATCTGGTACTCAACACACCCGGATTTCATGTACTTAATCTACTTTGTCCGGTGTCATTTAACAGTGACAGTTAATATTGCGGTGATTTTTGGTCCTAAGGTTTGTTTCTCTTTCCTTAATAGAAGAATAGAATTGCTCTCTTTTTACACTACGTCATTTCTACAAGCCTGATCCTTTGCTCAAATCTGTCCCCGAAAGTTTCAATTATCAATATTCGGGTATCGATTCCTTTATTTTATCGATTGTGACTCATTTCTGGTTCACGCTCATAAACGTTGCTTTGCTTATCATGATCGATAAGTACGTTTACTTATTTCAATTATGCCGATAAAGGTTTCATTTCGATCTTATTTCTCCAAACCGGTCCAAAATTAATATTAGAATAAGCTCTGATTATTTGTTAATTTGCAATATGAATGGAGGGTAAAAGTTAATATACACACTTTAAAATTATTAGAATGTCTATTATTAATTAGGATATTGGGATATTTGGTGAAAAGGCTTCTGGGTTTTTATGATATTCACGACTAAGCACGCAGATATTCTGTTTCCTTTATAGACTTATTGTTTGGAGGGACTTAGATTTAAACTGATAGTGCACGAGTAAGAGCCACTTCAAGAAACAGAAATAGAGTGTCTGGAGATCAGGAAGAAATGGTTTAGAGTCATCTCTCAAATTGTCACTGTTTATTAATACAATCGAACTTTGAGAATTGAATTACCTCAATAAAATTGTTTAACCTCGACCTTTCAGCCTTCTTGTCACCTCCACATTAAACTGTAAGCTATTAACTATAGGTTAACCTTTTAGCGCCCTTAAAACCGCAAGGTCTACTCTTTTAAAATAAGCTCTATTGGTACTAGACTCTTAGCAGAAGGCATTATTGCTGTTCGAAGCATGTTCAATAGGTGTTTATAGGCTTCGCCTGATGCACCACCAAACCTCATCACGTCGACGTCATTAGTCGGGTGTGAGACACGTGTAAGTGTGGTTGGGTGCATTTTGGCAAAAATAATTCGGGCGTTAAAGGGTTTATCAATTATTTATCCTCAAAACCGTTGGAAGAAAAAGTAACTGAAGCGAAGAGACCGACTTCCCTTATTCAAAGAAAACCGGTAAGCAAGCACTGAACATCGTAGACAAGCCCTTCCAGCAATTTAGTGGACGAATAGTGAAGTGTTCTTTCCGTAAATATTTACTTCCCGAATGCAAAAGATTAAAATCGACTAAGACTCCTTGATATTCAAACGTTGCTCTCAGGATCTTTTGGCCCCTTCCTTTATCCAATTGCTGTATTTCCACTTACTTCCCACAAAGACGAAAAAATATAAGTTATTTCCCACCGGATTGTGTTAATAGTAAAGCATTCAAAATGTCATTTGCTCTGACTTAATTAACTGTTAAAATTAGAAAGCGTCTATATGAATCTTAACATTGGTAAAGATATTAGACCTAATCGGTGGCCATCTGCCTGCATCTTTTCCTTTTCTCCCTACTTAAAGTCACGTGTGTGTCGGCACCTCTGCGTAATTATTTGCATGTCCTTTTGAGGAAAGCTTTCTTTCAAAGTTCATATTTTGAATGTAAAATGGCCCTACGACGTCACTCTGGTAATGGACTCGTATTCTGTCAACTTGTAGATTTTTGGTTCGAACCCCTAACCTCTGGCATACCACACCTACTGGATCATCAATGCGTGACCCACGTATATCCTAGTATAGAAATAAATTTCATGTCCTAAGTACGCCCTAAGTTGCTGCCAAAGCTGCAGATTTCCGTATTGTTATTGAATGATTTCAATGTATTTGGTTTCTACTACATTATACCATTAGAGGCTTTCAGAAGTATTACTGAGCATTGGGAGTCGAAGTTCGAAATCCATTTGTATACAACCACTGACCAGAATGTTATCAATATAGCTGATTTCAACAAATCTTTGAATCTTTCTCAGTCAGTATGACTTTTATATTTTTTCTCGTTTCTATTAAAGCCATTAAGTCACCACTATCTAGTGAATTGACATATCTACTCATCGTTTACATTAACCTTTCATTTGTGCAGTTCTGGTACATTCACAAACCCCCCACACCCCAACAGACAGGGGGAATGGTAGTTGGTGTAGGAGGAGCTCGAAGAGGGATGGTAGGCGCAGCACCTGGAGCTTCGGCAGCTCCACATCTTGTACCCTCCAACAACAAACTGCGTCTTGCCTCCAATGGAGAACTCGATTTGGCTGACGTCAATTTAGCTGACATGGACCCAGAAGTCATTCGGGTGAGAAAACTGAAGGGTTTAGAGTTTACCACTAATAGGCTTACTAATATCATGTCTCCTTGTCAATTTTAGAGAGAATTGAAGCGCTTGTATTCAGCTATTGAGATCTACAAAACAAAGGCAATGCGCAGGGATAATCCACACATCAGCAAACGCAGAGGTGGACGTAAACAGCGTCGGTGAGTGTGACATTGTAAGCTCTTCTACGCTCAAAACCTATGCTTTCCCTCCACCCTCCTGTGCTCTAGTCTCTGTATCACTAACCTTGCATGAAGGAACTACGATTTGATTACATCAAATCAATATATAGTTTAATCAGCTCAATCTTGCGATTGAGGTAGGTAATTCCTCGTGTCTAAGGACCTAGATTTTCACTGATTTCCATTTTCAGTAAGCAAGGTAATTACTCAAATATAATATATAATTTAGGTAACTTTGACAAGTCTGCTTTGCACCATTTCACGAAGGTGTTCATCAAATCCAGCAACCGACTGCTATCATTGATAGACCTTATTCTCTTTCGACCTTGAAGAAATCGATAATGCAATCACTCCCATTTTATGCCCTACGGAAAAGGCACTTCTTCGCAAACATCCAAAGTTCGAAGCTTCTTAGCGAAATGAAAGAAAATACTTCCCCAGAACCAAATTCAACCCAAAAAGAATACTGAGAGAGAAAGGGTAGCTATAATGACTCCCATAGCCACTGCCACTCTGCAGTACGCGAATGCTGTATAGGATGCTTAAATAACTGCGCTTATCATCTACGTGTCTCCAAGATATCCTTTCCTTATCAAATTAAGTGTTTTTAACGACCATTTAATAGATTTTGTAGTTTCTTTTCGTCTCAGAAATGGTGTATATGCTTGACCTGCATCCTCCAGATCTTTCTTTTGATTAGTAGTTGCTATTGGGTACTGGAGATTAAAGGCAAATTTATATTTTTGCTAGAATATGAATATTTCTTTTATGGTACTTGTTGTTGCCTTCAAAATTTGTTTGAATCTTCTCACTCCTAAGAGTATTATGCTGGTTCCTGGAGCCATCTCATAACAGGCTCAATTTTCTTTTAATTGTAGATATCCACCAGTTGGATGGCCATCCACGTTAATTAAATATATTATCACGTGGTGGTTTTCAGTATGAGAATTCACGATTGCTGCTCGTCTAACGAATTGTTAACTACATGTCATAATGTGTGAGAAACAGCATACAAAGATCTAAAAGTCCACTATGAAAATACTAAAGCGCACATTAGTGGGGTGGGATAATTACAACTATTTAGGTGAACAAATGAGACAGCCTTGATAATAAAGAAAGCTAATCCTAATTAAGTTGTCATTCCCCAAAGGGGAATTTACTATTCAGCATCCGGATATTGCAGATACTATTACCAAGATCATGCCCTGCAAATTAGGACAGGTAATAAATTTAGAAGGGGGTTATTGGGAAATCAGGTTTAGGTTTATAGCATTAATTTTCCGGGTTTTGGTCATCACGGATTTAATAATGATGTGGTGCTGGGCTTAGAAGATTGTGGTTATCTCCATTCGTTCCCATGTCCTATGGCGTTTCAGTAGTTTCAGCTAGCAATGAGATAGGCAGAGCATTCTTACGCTTGAGATAGCCAGTCGACAATTCGTTTAAGCAACAAATTAGTTTGTGCCATATCAAATTTGATGGAGTGGATGTGAAATTAGGGTGCGTGGGAATTAAGCAATCATTATTTGTGACAGAAGTGAAGAGAGGTGACAGGGGGGGGGAATGAAGGGGGGATGCTTGTGGGTCAATAAGGTGGTAGGATGTTGATGAAGAAATAGATAAACGTTTACCAATGCATTACGTCCCTCCTCATTCGGTTTCGAAGATGGATGGGATAAGTAGTAATAATTTCTCCGCTGTTAGGAATTTTAAGTTCTCTGTAACTTCAACTGCAGATATTTAGAAGGTTATGCGGTCGCTTGGGTTCCATTTGTAGATGGAATTTACGATACCATAAACTTAACTTCGTTAGGTGAACAGGTGGCAAATAGCCGATTGCTCTACTTTAATGACCTATGGGCTTTCTCTGTGTGTCTGGTTTCGTGCCACTATTCTATGTGAGACTCACCTCTCAGATTTGAAGCCGTTTATTGATTGACCTAAGCATATAGAGCATTATTCGGCAACTTGACCTCTTGGTTGTGGGGCTGCTGTGTCCTCTCTTCCTTCACTTTGTTATAATTATTTGACAACCATCTCTTTTCTACCCATCATAGTCCATAAAATTTTACATTGGTATCCATTCTTTCTCATATAATAAGGCCCTTTCGCATAAGTCTATGCAAAATATCCGAAAATGGTTATTACAATAAAGGAATCGCTTAGGAAAATCACTTATATGATGCTCAACATTAATAGTCTTTCTCACCTTTCAGGTTTTCCCTCCAGCCTTTCCATAAGAAACATCATGGCAGTGGCGTAGTGGGTGAGTGCGCATCGGGTTATCAAGGCGATGTGAGTGCGGCAGGTAATGTTGCTGGTAGCGGAAGTGGAGCCAACACAAAGCGTTCAGGAATGTCAGTAAGTGGACGAAGTGGAGTACTATTGAGAAGTTCCATGGTGGATGAGGAGGAGACTTCGCGTCTTTCTGAGGGATCTCTTACAAGCCTAGAGAAAGAGGCAGTTTCTGAAGTCTGCCCACCAAATACTACCACCGGAGGTAGGTCCAAAAATCAACAGGCAGCCTCCTCACATTGTGAATATACGCGCCGTAGACAGGAGACTAGTTGATTCCTGATTCCTTCCTCTCCTTTCTCTCTCTCTCTCTCTCTCTCTCTCTCTCTCTTATCAGTCTTGAAATGATTTCTAAGCGCGGCCCAATATCCTTCCACCTTCTACTTCCGTATCGTCCTATCGCCTCGCTCTGTTAACTTAGCCTTCGCCTGTACACAAAATAAATCTGTGCTTCTTTCAGCCACTCCATTATATTATTCATTCTGGGTACTGAAAATGTTAGGGAAGAATCGTTTTGGTACTGATTTGGTAATTTAAATTTCGTCCATCTAACATTTATTGCGAGAATACATGAAGTAGAATGAAATGGAAAGGCTTCATTGAATATTATGATAACCCTCCGGAACGCGTCGATGTTACTTTCGTATGGGTGAAGTATGCGAGTAACTTTTTATTGAGACAAACAATAAATTTTTGTGAGGCATGCATCTGAAGGTTTCGAGAGGAAGATGGTTGACGAAACTTGGACTTAACTCAGTAATCAACACCTACTGGAGTGAGTTATAGCATGACGTTTAACCTATCATTAGAGACGCTACCGTTACCTGAGGAAAGCGATGGAATAAGTGAGTTAGTAATCTTATTAAATCCGTGGATAAAACAGTTGGGAGTATTTCATGTAGCAGTTAATTGGGTTGAAAAGGTTGTCATCGTAGGTCCATTCGTTAGTTAGTTAGTTAGTTATTGTTTATCGGCTCAAGACACCTAAAGTCAAGAAGAAATCAGAAGTGGAATGTGGTGAACAATTTTCGAAGATTGCAGACAATGTAAGCCAACAATACAATGCGCATAAGTTTTATAATGGTAGAGATATAATGTATCAGTCCTTAGCTGTTCTGGCAGGTATAAACTTTTTCCTTTTAAATTGTTTATTATCTTTATCTATTTTTTTTCTCATTTAATCCCACACCAAAATAGAGAAATCAGAATTAGGGCGCACCAGGAAGATATGCAGTAAATTTGTGAGCAGCAAACAAAATTTTTTTCAAATGGTAGGCTTTAGGATATTTATCATTAGCCCTAAATCTTTGACTTCAGCTTCCCCCAAGAAGGGGGGGGGTACATTTATAGCAGTTAATTAATAGCAGTTCATTAGCTCTCTTCTTGCCTCCCAGTATCTCTGGCTTTCCGTCGTTGTCTTTAGAGCTGGACATCGAATCAGGTGGGTCTTCTCCATTTCCTTCTGTAGGTTAAATAGGGGGCATGTGAGTTGAGTGTATACTCCCAATCTGTGAAGGTGTTTTGCCAGGCAATCATGTCTGGTAAGTAGCCTAAACTCGGCAACGGCACACTCAAAATGCACTGCAATTGTAATATTATGGGGGAGTATCATTTACGATAATCGTATGACATTTCGTGCATAGTACTCCGTTTCAAAATACCTTCTTTGACTACATTGATTAAAATTAGAATTGTTGGTAAACAATTTCTGGTTATGCCAAACCATTACAAGATTCAATCTATCTTAAAAAAGAGATGTCTAAGTGGTCATTCTTCCCACGTGATATAGAGCTAGTGATAAAATAAAACCTTCCCAACTTTTGCCAATCATTATATTCCTGCTTTCTCATCTCATCACTGGGATGAATGACGAATTCCTCGAAATGATTTCTCTTTTAACTGAGACGAGATGTTCGAGTATGTAGAAAATTTATTTTTTGGTAAAATGATGCATCATCATTTTTTCATCAAACACCTGTTTGGCGGCAATGTGTAAATCTCACAGTTCACAAGAAAAAAATATTTAATAAGTGGACAAAAGCCGTTTAGAAACTAAAAATGGTGAAATTGGTAACTTTTAATTAAGGAAACCTACCGTGATTGGTCGCATAGGGCCAATTTCCAACGTATAATTAACTCGTATGCATTGCCTAATTAATAAATAATTGAGTACCTTGGAGTAGCTTTAAATGTCGAAACAGAGCAAAAAATACTGGTTTAGATTTTTCTGGTTAGGTAAATGCACTTGCGTGATATCCTAAAGCAAAGCTATCCCATAATTAAGTAACAATTTTTTGATTTTATAGCTACAAGGTGTAAATGTGTTGAAATGATTGGGCAACTAGTTGATTTCATCATCTTGTTAGCAGTTTTGACTTTGTGGGCAATAATTAGCTCAGCTGTCGTTGGGGTCAGTTTCAGACAGAAACAGAAATACAACGTAACTAAGAGCAGAACACTAGCGAATAGTCAAAGTTTCAAACGAGACTCTTTTTGAACTTTTATGAAACCGCAGAGGGACTGCTCTCTGATGATGTCTGCTAACGCCTGTTCTTCCCAAATTCCTTACCCTTGCCCCGCCCCTTCATTTCCAACCGCCTAATAGGCACATGTCTAGCCCAACTCTTGATCATTTAATTAGTCAAAAGTTATTATTATTATTTCAAATGGCAGGCGTTTTGATTCTTATCATTAGCCCTTTAGTTGACTTCAGGCTTTACAGAGGGGAAGGAACATCAAAGTGTAAAAAATTCAAGAGGGGGGGGGAACAGAAGAGAGTATCAAAGAGGAAGGTAGATAAGGTGGAAAAACGGTGGGATGAGTACTGCGGAAGTGGTCAAAAATGACCTACAGTGGGGTCATGGGAGTTTGAAGTCAACTGCCAGGTAATAGACTTTTTTGCTTTGAAGTCAGAAGTCAACTGCCGGTTAATAGAATTTTTTTGCCGATAGTTTGAAGTCAACTGCCAGGTAATAGACTTTTTGCTGTATGAGTATACGTTGCCCAGTGTGCACCACGTGGAGGTAAGTCCATCACGCACCCCAATTAGTCAAAAGTTGATGTTTCCTCTAAATCTTAAGAACGTCATTGGTTCAGTGAATGGAAACAGAGCCTAATTTGGTCAAGCTAGAAAGCAGCTTCACTTATGATCACATTTGCTGCTGATTTCGTAGTGCATTCAAAGTAAAAACATTCGTTTTTTGCTTATCCATGTTAAATAAACCATCCATTTAAAACCAGAATCTATTCTTTCCATCGTACTTAACGGCTGAATCTTATTCGCCAACGATATACAAACCTTTCATTTCTAGATGAAAGTTATCAGTATACTCGAATTCTACTACTAACAGACTAAATTGGTAGCCCATGAAAGCATTCAGTCAAGTACAAGTCGCTAGAATAATACTGCGGCATAAATTGTCGCGAAAACTGGCTTATCTACTTCCAAAGTATCTTGAATGCGGGTTTTTGGCGTGGTGATAACCTATTGGAAAAAAAGGCATTGTAATTTTGCATGCAATTTACGCTACGCTGTCCTAATACTGATCGTTGATAATATGGCCCGCATTGCGCGCGCTCACACACACCGCGTCTAGAAGAAACGCGATGGGTAGCACGTGCGCACTTTCCAAAATAGCCCAGGGCGCGATGATACTCCTTCTGTCAGCACAACTTAGACAACGAGTTTGAGAACTGACGAACAGTCGACGTACAACGCCGTCATTCAGAAAATAGCGATTAAATTCCATTATTATAAATACACTTAAATTAAGGCTTAAAAATGATCACCTAAAAAATTGGTGGTTTTTAATGTTCATTAATGCCAGAGAGATTCTTGGGTCCAAGTTTTGCAAAAGACAATGGTGGTACAAATTAGTAATTTACTCTCAGCTTGGAAGAAAAGGCAGTTTTGAGGCTTAACAACGGTTGGTTTGCATTCATAAAATAAGTACGAGGAGGGTTAGAGTGCTCTATTTATATCATAATTTATTAGCCCAAAAACAGTTATTTGTAGCCATAAAATGTTTTTGAGAATAATGGTTAAAAGTCTAATAATCGCTGAACCTATTTAGTAGTTGGCCATTCAGTCCCTCTGTAATATCGAAACCAACTGTCAAGGTCAAAGTGACATCCCATGGCTTTTCAAAAGATATGATTGACGGACGACAAAGCTCATCCCGATTTTATGCTCATACTTAGCGACCTTGAGTGATGCTAATCAATGTGCTTACAATGGCAATGACACAGAAATATCATTAGACCGGTCATTACCATGCGATGCAGCGAAAAGTATTCAGTAAGGTTAATTAGTACCTTGCCGACTATGAAGCCGACTGAGAAGTAGATTCAAATGTCTTGAACTGCCTAAACAAGAATAAAATCTCAGTTAACAAAATTTCGACCTTAGGCACTTGATTATAAAATTATTGCACTTTCAGCTTCGTGCAGAGGAGTAAAGCCTCTTTACTACAAATTCATCCAAGCGACTTTATAAGCAGTTTTGAGGAGTGCGCAAAACTGTCATGGCTGAACTAAGAAATCTCATGTTAACTCAGATAGACCCGAAGGTCCGATTGTGAGCTCAGAGATCTCTCTCAGTTAACCACCAACCAATTAATTTCTTTATTTATATCAATTGACAGGCCTTATGGTTGTTATACTTATCTCTTTAGTTGTCTTCGAGCTTCACAGAGAGAGGAACATCAAAGGCAAAAAGTCGAGAGGGAAGGGGAAACAGAAAAGTGAGTCACAGATGTGAAATGGACAGACAGAGAAAGGTAAACAGAAATGCTAAGGTAAGTACTATGGAAGTGGTGGAATATGATATACAGTGGGGTCATGGTTGTTTGAAGTCGGGTGGCAACTACCGGTGTATGTGCATACGTTACCCAAGGGGGTACCACGTGAAGGTTGGTCTATTGTACACCCGCATTTCCTCTAAATTGTGGGCCCCATCTCGTCACAGAGGTTAATGAGAAAAAGACATATTCGCGTTGCAATCCGCTACAGTTCTACTTTGTAATAATTATGCCTTCATTCCGGTTATTGATTTAATGCCTTCTTCCCACTGAACCTAGTCATGATTTATCCTATTTTCTGTTACTGTTAGCATACATTTACGGTTATGAACTAATTAGCATCCCAAAATGGCGACAGACCCTGAAACTTTATACCACTTAAATATGACTCCAAAATTAGGCAAGAAGGCGACCTTGAAATATAGCACATTATGACAAACACATATTAATTAAAAGCAATTAGTAGCCTAGTTTTATTAGATATTTATTATACATTTTCGAGAGTGACTAGTCTATTCAGCAAATGCCCCTTCACTACCTACTATCCCGGAATTTCAAACAACTTTTATTTCGAAATTCATTGGCTGATTTCAGCCTAGGCAGGCTATCGCACCTAAAATTCAAATACCTTGAAAATTGGTCAGATAATTTTTCATCTTTTGGAACTGTTAAGCTAGTAGCCGAAACTTTTGCCAAAGTTATATCCACTTCTTGGGGTGTTCGATTGACTTACCTCCACATGGTGCACTCTGGACGGCGTATACTCATATGACTAGTCTATAAACCTGCAAGTGACTTCTCACTTCAAACTACCATGGACGCTCTGTAATGCATTCTCGACCACTTCCACAGTACACACCTCGCCTTGCGTTTTTCTCAACCTTTGTATCTGTCGGTCTCTTTTACATCTGTGAATCACTCCTCTGCCCCAATCCCCGCCCGAATTTTTCCCCTCTGAGGAGCCCGAAGTCAGCTAAAGGGCTAATGATAACTATCATAAAGCCCACCATTTGATTTAAATAGATATCCACTACTTACTTTGTCTGGGAGGATTCGCACAGTGCTTAAATGCTGCTTTTTATCCTTATGGAATGGAGGCGCTATACCCCTTATACTTCTGTTCAATAGCTCTGTTTGATTAGCAAAGCTCTTTAGACTAACTCTGTTTTACCTTAATTTTCCCTCTAGTTTAAGTGGAGGATAGAGCTGGGTAACAGCACAATGGCGCAGAAAGGTTCTGCTTTCAAAAAGTAGGCAGTTACAAAACCAATACTCAGGGACATTCCAGATAGAAGGAGACAAATGCGACCATTGCAATACACTGTAAACCCCCTTATTCGTGCGCCACATGAATTATACCTCCGAGGCCATCTTCTATGGACAAGCGTGAGGGCAAGAAGCATGCTAATGAAATAGTCCGCAAGGATAAAAGGTACTATTAGTTAGGCTTAATTAGTCCATTATTTATCTGTTATGTCCTTGACAGGGTTCTATTGCTAGGCACGAATTTAAATCAAATCAGATCCAAGAATAATAGAAAATAACCCAAATCAGACTAATATTAGCAAGAGCAAAAACATTCAATTTTAGGTAAATAAGCATGACCTAAATTGACAGATATTGTATATTCGAAATATCCACTCTATTCCGGAGTTTCGTAATGGAGCAATCACCTTCTCAGCAGCTTGAACGACCGCAGAACCTCCTGTTTCCGATAATGGGCAAACTAATTCAACCTAAGAAAGCGGATATTAAATGAGATAGAACCTTACTTCATTAAAACAAGTGTTTCTCTTTCTGACAACAAAACCGAGTTTATTCTCAAAGAACCTCAAACTAATTTCATTATCCAAAGAGATCTTTGCTACAACACCCGTCACGTGGTGGGGAAAAAGGTGTTCAACATAGAAAAGAACACCACCTAAAGCTTGGGCAGCCAGCCCTTTACCCCGTGAAGAAGGTTCAGCAATCATCACCGATAATTCCCCTAAAGAATAGATAGTGGAGAACTGAATATAAATTAGTAGGAATAAGATTTTAAATTAGATTTCTTAAACACCTACCTTCAAATACATTCTCGGCATCTGAATTAAGATCAGGGATTAGATAGAAATTAACATCGCCAATCATCGCATTCACTTCAGCGTCGCACACATTACTAACTGGATATTCGCTTAAAGAAGACTTAAGTGAGGGAAATTCAAGTTCACTAATCGGTTTAAGGCCAGACGAATCATGCCTGGGTAATTTGGATTTTTCCAAAATGATAAATGTTACGCGATCATCCTTTACCAGCCAATTCTGCTGTTGCTCATATTCCTAAAATTAACAACAACTCACTTCACCAAATACGTTATAGAAATACCAGAGGCGTTCACTTAGACTAATGCAAGGAATTAGGTTTGAGGCGCATCCTCGTACTCTTGTGCGTTCAATTACCAAAGCATCACAAAATAGGTACAATACAAAGTTCACCGTAGCCATTGGTAGGCTTATCATAGTTTTCCCTAACCTTTAAAACACGTTTACACATCATTTTAGCATCTGTATAGAAACTTACGTTGACAAGCCGCAACTAACACCCAACTTTCAGAGAAAATTAAGACAATACCAACCAGATCCAAATGCCTTCCACCCCCCTTCAACGAGTCACCCCGTCTTCATCGATATAACATTACGCAAAGAATGTCACGATGGAGGCCACACAAGCCTACTTAGACATTAAACATTTAGCAATGAGCGGTATGTTCGCATTAAAACACACCTTTTAATTTTTCGGAGTGGATTGAGATGTTGCATAAACATGTCACCTCACCCAATTACTCCGAACACCAAAAGAATACTAGTGCGTTAATAATATTGTATTTCTCGATATAAGTGGCTCGAGAATCTACCAATCACTCCAACTACTCCAGTCGTTCAACAAGCAAAGCAATAAGATAAGGCAAAATATTCAGACATACCTTGCTGTCTTAAATTGCGAAATGAATGGTACCATATGCAATGGCACCTTTAAATGTTGCGGAGTGGATTGAGATGTTACATAAGCATGCCACCTCACCCAATAACTCAGCAGGTCCAATGATATTATAATTGCAAAGCAATACAACTATGAAACCAAATTAATATACCTCTTTCAATGTAAGTGGCTCAGAAGCTGTTAGCTTAAGTAGCTCCTCCCATTCCATCCACACATGGTATTTGGGCACATGTCCTACCTCGTAAGGAACCAAAAATAGATCCGGTGTTTCAACGCAATATCTTTGCGCTACCTACAACCAGTGCTAGTATATTTCAAATACAATGGTAAAACAGAAAAGAACAAAACATGCCAAATATTTCTGACGATTTATTGCATCGTTTATACAGGTACAAATTTAAGTCTTTGAGGCACGGACATAAATTTGCTGAGCGTGATGGCTTGAAATTTGACGAAGAACTCCTAAGAAGATGAATGATAAAGTTACAAACAAAATTACCTTGTTTCACTAATTCCTGAAGGCCAGCACGGGCTAGCGAAACACGGATCTTCATACGTTCTGATACAGAGGATGGAGTGATTAAGCGACTTTGAGGGATCTCCTTAACGAATTTGTCATAGGTAGCTTTGTCGAACAAGCAAGCATTGTTCAACTTGTCCCGTACCTTTCCCTTAGACCACTTCTTCTTCTTGGCTTTGCCAGCACCGTCCTTCTTTGGCTTTGAAGCCTTGGGATCTTTCTTTGAGCTCTTCGCTTGCTGCTTAGCAGGCTAAAAAGGTTAGAGGTGCAACAAACACGCTTACCATAGTCTATCACCACAAGTGAATACACTGAAAACTTAAACAAAGTTAGTAAATTATAGGTGATCGTAATAACTGTATCTGTACTTATCATTAGAAAAATTTATTTTGCTTGTTTGTTTATTTCTAAGAATTTTGAATATATTGAACGTGTTCTAGCGATAAATATTTATCATTTAAAAACTTAATTACAACCCCACTCCCCCAGGCAATATTTTTTATTCTATACATATTCACAACATTCAATCTTCTATTTTGTTAAATTTCATAAAGGGCTTTTCGTTAAGGGTCCTAATCATTCACTTTCTATGGAAAATGTAAAAAAAAGTGTACAATCATAATTTCAACGGTTTAAGTATTTATTATTCCTAATATAATTATTAAACCTATAAGACATCAAGATCCTTCATTCTTAATGTTAGTTTCAAATAGTTTCGTCATGTGTAAGTGCTCTCTGTATGAATTTATGAAATCAATCAAACCCATGTTATAGAAAAATATTCTTACTGTTCATTGTTTGTGGTGTTGCGTCCTCCACACTTTACTATATTAAGTGGATATGCTCTTCAACTCAAATCCTTTTACTTCAGTAATTCTTCCTTTCTTCCACTGTTGAAATGCAACTAATCTTTTCAACACATTTAATTGCACACTCTTCCTAGTTTACTCTTTATCGAGCTTGATTTCCAACAAAAATTATGCAGAAACCAACTTATTTCCGTAACATTCTGTATGGTCAGAATGAAAAAATAATTCTAAAGCTGTCTGCATGCATACATCAAAATTTTAATGGCAATCTATTTAATCTCGGACAAACTTTTCTATAATTCCATTATTTCCGTTGTTTAGAAAGCAGAAATCCTATTAAATAATATTTTCTTAGAAATATGATTTCGCTAAAATTCAATCGATTTTAAAAAATCTTCTAAGTATATTGGCAAAATAAGCACGAGTATTGCTTACTTAGATGGAAAGATTTGATAATATGTTATATAGTATAGTAATAAAGCAACAAATTGCTAGTTCTTATTCATGCTCAATTCCAGAAACATGTGTGATTATAATATGTACATATTAAATGATGGTTTCAAAGTGCCCTGCAATGCTACCACATATATTGAAGCAAGCTGCTATATATATGATTAAACGGCTCATTGATGTACAGTATGAATATAATGCCTCAGACATAATGAATGGAAAGAGTTGTGGGAAAGCTCCCTTTGCTGTTTAAAAGGAAACAATGTATACATATAGACCGATTGTGGGGGGGGGGGGGTCGAAAAACATTATAATTTAACGTTGAGCAAACACATTCACAAAAAACCGCTGACCTAAAAAGACAAGTCTCAAAAAATCTAAAGAGAAATCAGTGTTGCTAATGCTACTGGACAGAATATTCACTATGTTAATAGGTCATAACGACAAGACATCTCCTATTAAAGTTGAGACGGGGTGGACGCTCACCCATCTAGTTGAAAATCAGGAATAAGCAAAATATTACTGCAGTAAATCAAACAAGTATCTAAACACAATAAGTGTTCAATAACCAACAGTTGGATTACCGCAAAAAATTGATAAACGTCAATTTAACTACTGTCCAAGTCACGAATTATTAATTGACATGAGCCCAATTTTGACGATTTCAAATTGCAAATTAAAGCAATCATTAACAATTATATAGATAATACGTCGTTATAAAATGTTAATAAAATTAGCTACTTGGTAAAAAGGGTTGAAGCAATTCTTTGTAGAGTTCATGTACACTTCAAATAATATGAAGCATACGGTCACGTGATGAAGTACTTTGATAGTAGTCAAGAGACAGATCAAGCATGGTAGATTCATACTCATTTTAACCACTTTCTAGATGAATCACAATTATTTAGCCTCAAAATTGTATCTTATTAGAAAATATCTGTGACCTTAAAGTCAATATCTTTAATTCCAACTGCTTACTAAGTACAAATCTTAAAACTGACAAAGTTTGAGTGATGTTTTATTGAAAATTAAATACATTGAGAATCTAACGAAGATGGAAGTATTAATTGGAAGATTGTGGAACAGGACGACAAGCAGACGAAGTCTATTTCCTTACAAAACCATGAATCTACCTTACCATTGAGTCATCTATTATTGGTAGTGAGTGATTGGATGTTTTGAATTACGAGACACTGCAATTATTAGGCGTGTTTCCTAGCTTAGCCTAGTTTCACTTTTCTCCGCAGCCTTTGGCATTGCATAGTACAAAGTCATGCCTCCACCGTCTTTCGATAGAATTGGATCCAAAGTAAAGGATTTTTCTGAAGAAAATATTTACTTTTTAAGTCCAAATATAAAATTTAATTTCACATCCCGGAAGGATCCAACGTTCTTATTTTCCTTACTTACTCATCCACCCAGCTATTTGTTTGATAAATATTTTGCATATTATGATAGCAACCGACCAATCGTCACTTCGACATTTAATACTTCAATTTTCAGGGATGGCCAATTAGCTCTTACATATTGTCAACCAGCTTCATTTAAATCCGCACTTACTTTCCCACTATTCTCCACATGCTTCCAACAAGAAATTTCAGGGGCTTTGTCAGAAGTTAACTCTCGAAAGGACGCTAACGCACCATTTGATGATCCCGGATTTTATTCACGGACTAGTTATACATCCGATAACATTGTCGCAGCATTTGAAACGGATGTTCGTAACAAAAAAATAAAATCATATATCTCCTTTGTTTTGAGTAATTACAATTTCGTCATAGCCCCACGATTTGGTATTTCTGTGAAGAAGCCTTCTCGATATTATGTGGATTTGAAACTCGCCTACGAGCGGGGTAATCTTGAGGCTTTTACTTATTTTTCGTGGAGGAAGTTACATTCGTTGAGGGATTGGCATTTTGGTATTCTCCACAAAACTCCTCGATTGGATGTGGGCTTATACTCTGTAATTAAAAATAGGCGGAATAGCGTGAATAAAGTTGCTTCGACTGTTTGTTACAAACTCAATTCTTGGTCCTTTTTCAAAGTCAGCCTTCTCAATAATCTTACGTGTGCTTTTAACTACGGTTTCACCCCCTCAGATGGCAAGTTACAATTACCTTTTGCATTATTTAGCCTTATCTTTTTTTGCTATTTGAAATGGTTGTTCTAAATTGTAGGCGTTATCACAACTCTTGGATTCTCTTCAGATCTCCATCAGTTTAGTCTTTGTAGTCAATTCAATGTTTCATTTAGCATGAATTTCTAATTTCTTTTAAATCTAGCGCCTTATTATTCTGACATGCTTTTTATTACCCTCTTTTCTGGCTGTGATTTCAAAAGAAATATTCCTCTTTTTTTACCTTTCCGTCTTTTGTTGGTTCTTTGCTTATTCGGCGGGAGCTTTTAGCAAATTTGTTTTTGTTTGTGCTTTTGTGATTTAAATTTCTACGATAAAACGATGAGCGTAACATTTGGCTTATTTAATTCGTTGACAATGATGAATATACCATTGTTTAGTTTTATGTTGATGTAATAAATGCCAATATATGTGTTCTCGAGTGGCAACGTCCGAGTGTGCCTACCAATAGCCTTCTTTCCGTCATATGTGCTTTAATCACTTTCCAAGGTTCAGTAGTTACTGTCTACTTCGGTCAAATCAGGGTTCCCGAGATCAGTACCCATCCCCGAATACAAATGTCTAAATACACAGATTGATTCCGGTCAGCGATATGAAAGGTGATAGAAAGTGAGCTTATTTTAATAGAAGATTAAGACTATGCTTCAAACTGTTGGAAATACTTTGTGATGCGCTTGGAGAGCCTTTTTCTGCTAACATTTATTTATATCAAATGGCAGGCGTTTTGATAGTTACACTGGCCCTTTAGTTGACTTCAGGCTTCACAGAGAGGAGGAGGAATATAAAAGTGAAAAAATTCGAGAGGGGGGGGAGGGAACAGAAGAGTGTTACAAAAATGTAAGAGGGACACACAAAGGTAGAAAAAAGGCGAGGTGAGAACTGTGGATGTATTTGAATATGACATCCAGTGGGTGATGGCAGTTTGAAGTCAAAGTCAACTGCCGGTTAATAGACTTATGCCGTATGAGTATACGTTGCCCAGGATGCAGCACGTGAAGGTAAGTCTATCGTACACCCCTTTTCTGCTAACATTGAAGGCAATCTCTTTCAAAAGGAATTCTGATCAATTTGCAAGCCAATATCTCTATACTGATTTCTGAACGAGCTTTAATTTGCTACACTGAAATTTACATTAGATCTGGTTGCGCTCTCACGACAGATTCCCTTGAACCTCTATTTCATAGATGTGATAAGCCCTCTTGGGTCTCTATTCAGACTTTGTTGGCACAGCTCATTGACCCTTTCAGTTTTTATCAAGTAGCTTTCACTCGAAATATGACCTTCGCTATTGCAGGCTCACCCACCCACTTCTCATAGAAAGTGTTTGGGAAAGTCGTCTTCCAGAGAAGAAAATTCTGAGCAAACTGAGACATTCTGATAAAGCACAAAAAATCCAATTCTTTTCCGATTGAAATAACTTTTTGCAAGATCAAAAGCACAAGACCCAGAATTAGGGTTGGCTTGGCTTCTGTGGAGCCTAAAGGGCACTCCTAGAGCCACGCAGACCAACTTCCCCCAAAGACAAACCTGATAACTGACTTTGGGACCACATCGAGAAGTATTCATCTCATCATAAAATATGAAATCTGCAGTTGTGTGCTTGGTCTCGTAGGCCTCGTGAATGCGTTATGCCCGCAGTATTCACATCTTACCGGATCAGTAGATTATAGTAAGCGGTGTTAGCTGTTGCAAAGTAAAGTCGCCAACATTGTTAAAGAATGGTACAGATATTCAGTCTTCAAAGAGGGCGGAGTAAATGGCAAACCAGATGGGATAATTTTTAGCACGATTTAGAAACTACCTTTATAAATAGTCAAGGTTATGGGGATTTCTCCAATATTTGAATGCCAGGAAAATGGCATTCATCTCACTACCCCTAACTTAACAAGCA